GGGTAGTTAAAAGCTGCAGTTCGAAGAGGATTCAGGATGCTGTGATCCTCTTCAGCCACAGCACTCGCTTCCCTTACCTTGGGAGGGAGAAGAGCCCTCAAAGCAGGGACGCTCTGCAGAGGGCTCAGCTGCTCCAGGGACGTTCAGGGGATGTTTTCCAAGGCTGCTGCTGGCCTGGCACGCACCAGGAGCTTGTGGCTGTGAAGCTGTGGGGTAAGTGCTGCGTGGGCATTGCGTCGGCAGGAAGCTGGCCTGCTCTCCCTGGGGATTTTTTGAGGATATCCACCCCATCCACAGCCCACAGGGACTGTGTGTGTCCTCAGGGACAGCAGCCAGTGCAGGTGTGTGCAGCACATCCCATCMTCCAGGGTGCCTGGCTGTCCTGGCCATCCCCTGAGTGTTCCTGCAGTGGGGACACAGTGCTGTGGCTGTGGCTGGGAGTGCCAGCTGGGCTGTGCAGAGAGCCTGGTACAGGCAGGGGACAGGCAGGGGACAGGCAGGGGACAGGCAGGGCACAGGTAGGGGACAGACAGGGGAACAGACAGGGGACAGGCAGGGAACAGCAGGGCACAGGCAGGGGACAGACAGGGGACAGGCAGGGAACAGACAGGGGACAGGCAGGGAACAGGCAGGGGACAGGCAGGGCACAGGCGGGGGACAGGCAGGGGACAGGCAGGGGACAGGCAGGGGACAGGCAGGGGACAGCAGGGCATCCCAGGGCACAGGCAGGGGACAGACAGGGCTGCACAGAGAGCCTGGCACAGGCAGGGCACAGGCAGGGGACAGGCAGGGCACAGGCAGGGGACAGGCAGGGAACAGCAGGGCACCCCAGGGCACAGACAGGGGACAGGCAGGGGAACAGAGAGGGGACAGACAGGGGACAGGCAGGGGAACAGAGAGGGGACAGGCAGGGAACAGGCAGGGGAACAGAGAGGGGACAGACAGGGGACAGGCAGGGAACACGCAGGGAACAAGCAGGGCACCCCAGGGCACAGGCAGGGGACAGGCAGGGCTGCACAGAGATCCTGACACAGGCAGGGCACCCCAGAGCATCCCAGGTCACCCCAGGACACCCCCAGCCCCATCCCACAGGGTTCATTCTCCCTCTCCTCGGGCTCTGAGAGCTGTGTGTGCAGGAGCAGGGTTTGTTCAGTGAAATGCTGAGCCCTTCGAAAGCGCGCGGAGCTGGGATCAGTCAGCCTCGGATGGGTGGAGTGATGGGAATTGCAAATGATTCTGTTTTAACGGAGCCAAAAATTGCTTCCTTTCCTCTCTGAGGTCTGTGAGCCTCTGAAAAAAAAAGTTAATTCTGCAGAAAAAGCATAGCTTAAAAAAACTTCTTTCTCCCCCTTTTATTTTTGTCTCAAAATATTTTGTCAATATTACAACAAATTAGAAAACACCTTGGTTTTCTTTAATTTATTCATTGTAAAAATTTCCTCTAACTCCTGCTTCTCATTCAGAATCCATTTTTTTATGAACATAAGGAACCAAGGAGCTTGCAGTGATGTTTRCACAGAGTATGTGAGCATAACCTTCTTGTTGGGAAAGTTATTAGATACATTTATAAGAAACCAAGGTTCACTGGGAAAACAGTCAGAGTGTTGCTTTTGACTCCAGTATTGATTCATTGAGAATTAAAGCCTGTTGCTGAGTTTAATCCTCCTCCTCTTGCTAGTAAAAATGAGCAGCTGATGTGTGGGTGGCGAGCACAAGAGAAAGATGTGGAGCAGAGGCAGCCACGTCGCTGCCATGYGCTGGGGCTGAATTTCCATTGCATTTCCATTAGCAATCCCCAGAAATTCGTGTGTTTATTTTCTCTGAAGGCTTTGGCTGTGCYTGTGGCTGGGTGTGTGGAAGCCCCCTCAGCACAGGAATGTCACTGTGGCAAGGGCTGGTGTGTTCTCGGGTCAGAAAAGCAAATGTGCACCTCCAATCTGCACTGGAAGGAGCTGGCTCCATGCTGAAGGTGCATCCTCCACAGGGTACCAAGTCCATCTTAAAAAGCACTTTAAACCACCCAGTGTTGGGAATAACTTTTAAAAACGTTGTTGCCAGGTTTGGGTGGTCAGCCCAGAGCTGAGCAAGGCTCAGGCCAAGGTGTGTGTTCTGAGTGATGCCCRGGACAGCTCTGCTCTGACCCTTCACATTCAGGGTGTGTGTGACCCCACCACCATGCCTGTGACAATGCAGCTTCCTCWGAACATTTCTCTGCTGTTTTGTTCCCAGAAATGTAGCCCTGGGAAGGGATTCCTCCTCTCTGCARTGCTTTCTAGTACAGCAGCACCGCTGACACCTGCGGTAGCAGCCAGCTGAGCACTAATGGTTTCCTGCATCTACTTTTAGCATTGTCTGCCGCTATTGTTCACTTTTTGGAAAGGTTCAGCAGCTGGGAATCATTTCAGAGAGTCTGCCTTGCCAGATCCAAGGATATGAGTCCCACTTGCCATTGCCAGGCAGCTTTTAATGGCCAGAGAGAAAAGCTTTTCTCACCCAAGAGAGAAGTCGCAGATGGTGTTTGAGGAAGGCTGGAGATGATAGGCTTAGGCAGATGCCTGCGTGGCCCCTGAGCTCTCCTGGAAGTGTGAAATTTGCTGCCACTGCTGGTGACATCAGGGCTGGAGGCTGCTCAAGGAGGGAGAGTGTAGAGCTGAGCCAGGGGGGAGATGAGAGCTCCTGAGATGGTTCCAGCAGCGTAGGGGGTGAGCAGAGCCATCATCCTCCTCTTACACCCAACAGGGAAATCAAACGTGCCACTGCTTGCACCCAGAATTTGGGAAAGATGCTCARCTGAGAGGTTTTGAAGGAAAATTCCTGAGATTATCCTCCGAGCAGCGTTTTTCCAGCCGCGTGTTAGTCAGGGCTGAATCAGAGGAGTCGGATCCTCCTGGCCCTCTTGGCTCCCAGCTTTTCCAGCCCCAGTGCCAGTGAACACTAACACTGCAGTGAACTCGGGATCAAACACCCACCTCAGGCACAGAATAAGCAGGATATTCTCTGGACTGGGCAGATCAGACGCTGTGAAAACACCGGAGCCCTGGCACGAACACGSCGTGTCCTCCCGGTGTCTGATGGGGTGTTTGGATCCTGCTGAGGTGCATGGCTGCAATCAGGGGAGCTGAACCAGGGTTATAGGACCAGAAGGTGTTCTGCACAGCCTGGTGGTGAGTACTGTGCAGTTCTGGGCCCTAAAGGAAGCGAAAATTGAGAAATTCCTTGGTGCAGTTTCCTGGCGGTTTGCTGCAGGTTTGTGCCAGAGGTAAGGTCGTGAGCTGGACAGAACAGGGGTGCTCCTCTSAGCTTTTCATGGGCCAGAACAAAGAAAAAAACAGTCCCTTCTTTTTATTCCTGTGAACTTCTATATCAYCTGAACATACTTTATGACCAAAACCTCACCAGCTGGAATCTGGCTGTATGGAGCACTGACACACATTGGTGCCACRCTCTAAGAAATGTTGTTTACCTGCACRRACCATCCTGTGCTGTAAGGTTTTGTTGAGCTCTYCCTCAATTGTTAAAGCAGAGCCCAATGACTGGGTCTGCAGGTCARGCTGTGGAATAATCACTAACAAATCCTGGCATTTTAATGGTGGCTGCTGTACTTGGGGCATTCCTCTAATAATGGTTCTCTGAAAGATCYACGGCTGATCCGCTGCTGATGGTTAATGCTGTTAAAATGTCAGACACGTGCAGCCTGCTCCTGCCACGAATTCCATGGCTCCCTGATAATGTATATCATCCAAAGTTATAGTGCTGCTAAGTGCATTCCTGTCCTGCACTGCTCTGTAGCAGAATTTCAGCACCCCCCAGACTGTACCAAACCCTGAGCCTCCGCTGTTTCCAGAGCTCAGGGCTGTCAAACACACTATTCCAAAGCAAACAAACATTTCCCATACAAAATATTTCCTGTAAAATCTGCTCCTAATGCTATTTTTAATGCAATCCTTGGATTRCATGTGTTTTGAACCCAGCATTGTACTTTGAGCTGTATCACCTCTGTGAACAGTACAGATGTGTTTTGCACATACACACTGCAAAATATACTCCAGGTTTCTTCCATTCTTTCTCTTGTGTTTTGATTTGGGTTTTTTTTTTCTTTTTTTTTGTTTAGCTTATATTAACAGCTGACATGAAAAATAACATGTGTTTTTGACCTAGAGAAACTGGGGCACCCTGGAATTCTTTTCCAGTGCTTTATTTTGAACTAAGAGGTGTGATGCACACGTTTATCCTGTTTCTTCAGWGGGATGTGACATGACAGCTACAAATAAATGCCTTTGATATTCCTCAGACCCTGGTTTATATGATAAAACCTAAAGAATCCAAGGACTACATGTGAATTTTAAACAGTGCCTTATGAATACAGAAGTGGGTGTCCTTGCTCCCYGTGAATACACATGTCAATAAATTGTCATGAGCCCGGGGCAGAGCTGCAGAATCAATCACTGGAGACCAGAGAGAATCACATTAATTCCAACTTTGACTTTCATGACAYTGCTTGTTTGTTTTTGCTGGGGGTTGGCTACAGAAGAAACAAAAACAACGTTAGGCAGCCTGGTTTCAAAAGCAGCTTTTTTGGCTTCGCAAGAAAATTCTGAGCTGGCACACCAAACAGACAATATTTTCTTAGATCTGAAATCTAAGAAACTGCATGCTTCAGGKTGGAAGTGTGAGTACGGTTTATCTCGGGGTTACACAAAACACCTTTGCTAAAATCGTGTGGGTGTTTCGGGGCTTCGTGAAAATTTGTCACTCTGCAAGCGCCGTCTCTGCTGTGTTTCATTACTTTTTAGCACGTGTTTTGAACTTATCATTTAGCCCATGGCTGGTCCTGAATCAGTGCAAAGGTGTTTTCAGCCATCGAGCTGAACGGGTCTGGCATAAAGCTGGATTTAACCTTTTTTTGCATTTTTAATTTTTAATTTTTTTTTTTTTTGGTGCAGTAAAAGAGCTGGAAAAAAAAAAAGTGACATTTTCTTGATACTCTTTTTTTTTCACAGCTTTATGTACAGTGAACTGAAAATCCTGAAGAATGGCTTTACCTACCTCCAAGTATCTGGCTGGAAGTTTGGGGTTTTTTCTGTTTGTGGTCTCTTCGGTAAGCACAGGTAAGTTTTCCTGCCATGGGGAAAAAGGGTATGGCTTGTGATGTTATTTTAAACAGCTTTTTACTCTTCTTTGTATAAGAAGAGTCAAGGACAGAGTGGGAGGGAAAACTCAAGAGAAAAGCAATTTTCTGATGTGCCAATATTTGCAGTCAGGGGCAGCTGGAGTGGCAAAGAGTGAAATTTCTGAGCAGGTGAAAGCACCCTCAGCAACCCCTCAGAGCTGCCACACATCATTAAACCAAACACAAACCCAACAAACTGCCACAAAAAATAGCAAAAGAAACCTCAGGTGGCAGTAGCTGTGGCTGAGGGAGGTGAGGGTGAGCATTTTCCTGCATTCCTCAAACCCAGATGTGGAGAGCAAAAAACTCTGGGCTGGGACATCCCTGCCCCGKGGGTTTTGCCTCTTCCAAGCAGTTATTTTATGAAGCAGTTTAAGGAAGGGGGAAAGTGAGGTTTGATTTACATATTCCATGTACAGCTGATTTGGAGGTTTGGTTTTTTTTTGGTTTTTTTTTAAACAAATAGATCAAATGTGTTGCCCCAAACACTGCAGCTGCATGAAGCAACCCTTCGTTGTCATGCTCAGGCCCTTTTGGKCAAGAAGAAAACACTCAGTTAATTCCTTGTGCTGGGTAGAATTTGCACTTTTATTTAAAAAAAAAATGACAATCAGAATAATAATCATTAATTAGTGATCAGTAATAAAGGTAACTGGACCTGCTGGCAGAAGATGCTCAGCCTGATGGTGTCACTGGTGCAGCAGATGATGATGTGCAAAGCTCATCAAATTGGTACAAATTGGTTAATGAAATTGGTACAAATTGGTTAATGAAATTGGGAATTTGGGTCCTCTTGGTTGGTTTGGTTTTGGTTTGTTGGCTTTTTTTTGCCAGTGTAAATTTCTCTTGATTTCCCCTTAGGCTTCACTGTCTGCCTCTCTGTTTTGAAATAATGAATTTGAGGCACAAGCCATCTTTTGAGACTGCAGGAAGCTCCTTGGACTTTAGCATATTCAAGGAAATGGGAAAAAGAACAAGTMTTTTATCCTGTCCACCTTCTCTGGTTGATAAATTGTAACTTTACATTTGAACGGATTCTTTTGGTTTTATATCACTTCTCGTCATGAGCAAATTTTCTATTGTCCTTATTCTCAGGGAAATAAGAGCTCTCTAAAAAAAATTGTTATCAGTGTGTATTTCAGTTATATTTGAACATTTATTTACCATGCAAGCCCCATTCCTGTCTGAAATATTTATCTTTTCTAACTTTAATCAATTCTGTGAGTTTTCTGCTAGGAACCCAGAACCCCCTCCTTATTTTTCTCAATTACTGTAAATTGGAAAAAGTGCTTCTGACATTACTGATACAATTCCAGCTCCAGCTGGCACAAATGATATCAAAATCAGGCCCTGGATGTTTATCTGTATCTGACTTGCTGCCTGGTAGATTATTGRCCCTCTCTGATTTAATTCATGTACATGGGGAAAGTTTGCAGAGAGGCAAGGTTTAGGCAACCCTCATGAAATATCCTTTGCTCACCTTGAAAATTGGTATTTCCTGGGGCCCTGGAGACTTTCAGGCTGCTCCAATTCTATTTTCTTAAGGCATAAAACTGGTGGAGGAAAGTGAGAGGAAGCTGAATGCACATGGACAGATCTTGCTGTGGAATTACAGATGTCCTTCAAGTTCCACAGTGGCAGCACAAAACATCACCAGCAGGAAATGTTTCCTTGTGTRGATTCACATCACTGCCCTTTCCCTTAAAGGATGGCATTAATGTCTGGGGGGCAAACCCCACACAGCTTTCCTACACCAGGTTCYAGAGACATAACCCTGCTGGGGTCAGGGTGTTCATCCCATGTCCCTCCTCATGGATTTGTCCATGCTGTAATTTTTTCCTTGTGTTTTTGTTTCAAGGGATAAAAACTGGAAATCTGCTGAGAGCTCCCAGCCCTTTCTGAAGGGTTTATTGTTCAAACTCCACTGAGCTCAGCTTCCCAGGGTTAGGAAGGGTTCTGCCCTCAGAAAATGCTCATCACACGTGAGATCTCACTGGTGGTTTTGGTGGTTAGGGTAAGGAGTGAGGCTCACGGATCAGCCGAGGTTGTACCAGGGAAATATTTTATCTTAAATAAACAGCTGCAACATGAGACTCTGGGATGTGGTGTGAGAGCTGCTCAGACTAACACGTCATGMTAACCTGTGTGTGGAGATGGGAGATGTGTGATCCCAAAGAGAATAAACCTTATTGCTCCTGCCTGGGAAAGCTCACAAACCCAGACACACTTGGGAGATTCCTGTTGCTCCCTGTTACTGGGTGTACTGGTAATTGTTTGGTGTTTGGTGTTTTCATGTTGTTTGAGCTCTTTTTCTTTCCATCTCCAGTGAAAATATATAATGCAGCATATTTTAACATCTTTACATTGAAAGATATTTGCCAAAACAGGTATCTGGGGGCATTTTTAAAGGCAGTAGTTGTTTTATTCTTCTACCAACACCTTCCCTGGGTTTGTGAAAGGCTTTTTGTCTGGATGCTATGAATAGAATGTCACTGCAGGAAGGGCTCACCTAAAGTCGTTCTCTAGAAACTGCATCCCCTGCAAGGCTCCTTTGCACTGGGTTTTTCCATGCTTGCAGCAAACAGGAAAGCAGGGAGCCAAAGGTGTTGTTTGTTTTCTTTTGGCAGTGCCCCAGGTGTGCCCAGCTGAGGCATCGCCGTGTTCAGGATCCAGCCAGGGGGAATCACTGCAAACACRTGAGATGGGCAGAGATCTCTGTCCAACACCAAACAAACCCTGATTGTCCTCCCTCTCCATCTCCCCCCAGCAGAAGCAGCTGCCACCTGTCCCGACAGAGATCCTGAKCTGGAGATCTGGAACCCAGGTCACGACGAAGAGAACCGCGTGGAGATCAGCAGCGGCAGGAAACTGCTGCTGTCCTCCTCTGCCACCGTGCACTCTGTCCACATCACTGATGGAGGTAAAACACACTGCTGGGTAMAGCCTGCTCTCCCCTGGGGATTGGGAAATCCCTTTGGATCATCCTGGGAAAGCTTCTGCTTCTTTCTGGGGGGCTGCACAGCTCTGCCTCGGGACGAGATGCTGAGAYTCTTTAGACCATCACCAGTCCTGTCCGGAGAAAGTTACACAAGCAGCTCAATGTAATTACCAGTTCTACTTCTGCTTCAAAAACATTTTTTATACTAGACCACAGGCCTGATAGCATCATGCTGCAATAGCTTTGTTATCAGGGCCTCAGGACAGAGCAGMTGCATTTGTGCCTCTCTGTCTCCAAGGACAGAGCCATCGGGTGGCTGGCGTGAATAAAAGCTATTCATGCCAGCCACACAGCTTTTTTTCATATAGCTTTTAATCTTAACTCTGAATTTCTGTCTCAGTTTTGAATAGGTCCTCTTCCATGTAAATCTTAATCAGATTCTTCAAGAGCTGGACTGAATAAAAACCAATGTTTTCAGCGTTTGTAYTGGGAGCTGGTTTGGGGTGTAGGAACAGAATTTTTCAAAAATAAAAACCAGTGTTTTCAGCATTTGTACTGGGAGCTGGTTTGGGGTGTAGGAACAGAATTTTTCAAAAATAAAAACCAATGTTTTCAGCATTTATATTGGGAGCTGGTTTGGGGTGTATGAACAGAGTTTTACAAAAACTGAGATGAGAGCCCAGCACTGGGTTTAGCACGTTGATACCACAGCCTCTGATGAGCTGCTGTGTGATGAAACCAATGCCATAACCTTCTCCACTTAGGCAAACTGGTGATTAAAGAYGATGTGCAGCCCATCGTTCTGCGTACGAGACACATTCTGATTGAAAATGAWGGAGAGCTCCACATCGGCAGCGAGCTGTGCCCTTACCAAGGCAAAGTGGTTATCATCCTATATGGGCGGTACGTGTGCATGGTCAAATCCTGCCTCACAACCTTCTGGCACCTCTCTTCCACAGCAGGGAATGAAAATGTCCCTTAAAATTGCATGTTCTCTGCTTAGCTTATCATCAGTGCTCTGTGGAAAGTTCAGTAATTTTTTTAACCGTTTAAATGGCTCCTAAAGTGATGTAGGTTTGGGGTTTTTTTCTCTGCTCCTGGGATATGAGCACTGGGGTGCTTGGGCATGCCAGAGAATCAGCGTGCACCTTCCCACCACTCAGCTGATTTCCAGAAGAGGCTTAAAACCTGAGGAGTTCTTTCCATCTGAAAGTTCTCCTCTCTAAACATCCCTTCTTTCTGCATGTGAGGGCTGAGCCAAAGGATAACACACTTCTGTCCTTGTACATTGGTACAGGATCTCTAAGAATTTCAAGGATGCTAAATTCATATTTAACAACCACTAGACCTCTCAGCTCCTGGTGAGGGTCTTGCCTGCCTCCAGAGCTCAAAATCACAGATTTATCATTCAGTCTGTGCTGCAGGCCTCCTCTGTCCTGGATATAATGACTGCAGCATGTTCCAGATTGCTGTTGGGTCTTTGGTAGCTGCTGCTCTTATTGAAAATAATTTATTTTCTGTACAATGTGAGCACCTCCTGATTCTTGGAGTATCTGTAAAAAATGCACTGCTAATCACAAAACTTCTCTCCCTGGTTCCTTCCCTCCCTCCCTGCTTYAGAGCCGATGACGGCAGCCAGCCAAACCCCTACTTTGGGCAGAAATATCTTGGAGTGAGTAAAGGTGGCACTCTTGAGATCCACGGAAAGAAAAAGCTGTCCTGGACTTTCTTAAACAAGACTCTTCATCCTGGTGGCCTGGAAGAGGGTGGATATTACTTCGAGAGGAGCTGGGGCCACCGGGGTGTCATTGTCCATGTCATTGACCCAAAGACGGGGGCAGTTGTCCATTCTGACCGGTGAGTGACCTTCTGACTGCCCAGGGCTGAGGATCTTTGGGAACAGGTTGGGGAGGGCATCTCAGTGAGATCAAACCCCCACATTTTAGCACCTTATTCACACGGGTGGTACTGCATGTGTGTGCAATTCTTCCCAGAGCAGCAATCTCCAAACCCACGGGGTGAGCACTAGTCACTCTTGGCTAAACAGTGACACAAAATAATAGATATGTAGAAAAAGGAAAAGAAAAATAGGGTGRAAAAGAGTATTTTATTGTGGGACCAGCTTCTTTTATTTRCTTTAGTAACTAGTGTATACATCTGTGTTAAACATTGTTTAAGAGACAGCTGTTTAATGAATAATTAGTATATGACTGGTAAGTTTGCAAAAGTTATAGTATTAGTAATGTTTATAATTGTTAGTTACTTGCATTATTAATTTTACATTTTAATCTCTTTTTCTCAAAAGTAGCTAAGGTTGTGGTATTTTTCTTTTATGTAGGCTGTTAACACTCCCTTTCTTTTCCCAGGACTTAGTCATACACAATAATTGGCTGAGTTTTAGATTTAGGACTTGTGGGGCTACTTTTTTCTTTCACAAGCACTCTTTCAACTGGACTTTTATCCATTTGTCTGAACAGAATCCCTTAAAACACCCTGCTGTCGCTGTTGGTCAGACAGCCGACATAAAAGAATAGATACAAAACACACAAAAAGTGGGTGAAAAAACAGAAAGATAGAAGGACTTTATTGTGGGACAAGTTTCTTTTACCTACTTTAGCAACTAGTGCATACATTTGTGTCAAACATACATTGGTCAGTGAGGCTGTCACTTTCTACTCAACAGCATAGGATTGGTAGGTTTGCAAAAGCTACAGTATTAGTAATGTTTATAATTGTAAGCCACCTGCATTATCAATTCTACATTCCAATCTTCTTTTTCTCAAGACAGCCAAGGACGTGGCGTTTTATTCTCATGCAAKCTRTTAACACTCCCYACATCCTGCTAGACAAGTGCTCTTGCAACAGGGTAATATTAGTGTGAAGAGTACAAAAAAGCACTTTCTTTACAGTAATTTCAGTTCATAAGGATGTGATGATCACTGCAGWAAATGTTCACAGGGTTTTTTTGTCATTTCAGATTCGATACCTACAGAGCAAAAGAGGAGAGTGTCCGCCTGGCCCAGTACCTGGGCAGAGTTGCCAATGGCATGATCCTCTCAGTTGCAGTGAACGATGAAGGATCCAGAAACTTGGATGATTTGGCCAGGAAAGCAATGACCAAACTGGGCAGCAAGCATTTCCTCCACCTTGGGTTTAGGTATGTGCCAGTCCTGCCAGTTCTCCCAGCACAGAGGCTTTATTATGTTCCTGAGATGTCCAAATAGTTCCACTCTTTCAAAGTCACAATGTTCTTTCACATGGGAAAAAAAAAAAAATTGAAAAAGAGGGAAACTTCTCGATSTGGAGTTTTAGCAGTTAATTAGATAGTTTCAGATGCACTCAGAGTCTATATTGGGTATTTTTATTAGCAGATTGAGGAATAGCATATGATTCACATAAAAAAAAAAAAAGATGTTTTTCCAAGATATTGTTCCCACAGGTTGCTTATTCCAGTTTATTTTCAAGCCATCCCTGAAAGATTTAAGAAGWACATTAACACACAGACAGAGGATTAGATGGGCTGAGCATGAAGGAGGCTGCAATAATTGTTGTGTATTCCTGGCTGCACACATACAGACACACAGAGCACATTCCTCAGCTCTCCAGCACTGATCTGGGACTTGTGCAGCACAGAAACTCATGGATTTATGGTGTGGACTGTAAATATTTCTGTAGCCAAAACAGTGTCTGCGTTGGCACACATGCTGTTGAGAATACTTGCTATTTACCCAACTGCAGCCATTATATTTTTTGTGTTTATCTGAATTTATGTAGGGTTTTTTTTTTTTTTTTTTTTTTTTTTTTTTTTTTTATGAGGCACTAAGAGGGTGTCTGCAGAACACACACACACACAGAATSTGCCCTGTAGGGAAAAATGATTCAAAAAAGGAGTCTGTGGAAGGAGATTTGTGTCAGCTGGGCACACACAGAGTGAGATCTGGGGTGGCTGGTGAAGAGATTGTGTCAAATGTTACAGAGGCACCAGACAACATTTCAAAAAATCAACCAAAGGGACAGAAATTGTCTCCAGAACCAGGTTATCTCCATCAGTGCAGTTCTTGCTCTCCAATCTAAATCCCCATATTACAGCCCAGTAGCCTGCTCAGGTTTTTTTTTTTTCAAATGCTGGAATTAGGGGAACAGAACATGATTTTTGAACATTACACTTTTTTCCCCAATTGTGCAACAGGAAGGAATTGATGGGTTTCACACATGTTTGTAACAGTAAATTGCACTTGGTTTYTTTTAGGATGGTTTAAGGCAAGTTTCTCATCACTTTGCCATCAATGTTTATAATGAAAATACCACAGAAATTAATCCATGGAGGTGTGATTTTCAGCATTGCCATTGTTTGTAGTTTAAAAACTAATACTTGCCATGCTGTTATCTGAAACACCACAAAATTGCACTCTGTGAATGATAGRGACGTGGATAAATAATGAGGAGTAATTGGTCAACACTGCCTTCCACCAGCAGACAGGCCTGTGGAAAAATATCTGTTGCATTATTTAAAATAATGTATTTTTTAGGAATGTTCTCAGAGTTTAAGTTCAAACCCACATTGTGTGGATGGCAGTTTTCTAAGACACCAAACTCTCAGAAAGGCAGTTTGGTGACACACTGCAGCACAGGCAGCTTTAGGTGCAGCCAAGCTTTTCCTCTTAAGCAAATTTAACTTCAAGTGTAACAAGATTTAAACACAGTGGTTTACATTTCAGACACATCTAYAACTACAAATAAGGATGGATGCACACTTGGCAGGTGCTTTTTGAAATTTTTTCGGAGTATCTTAGAAAAAAAAAATAAAATTGAGAATGCTAAAATGGCACACAAGTGTACACACTGTACGGCTGTGGCCAAGGCAGGCTCTGGCTGAGCAGAGCAGATGGATTTCTCTTTTTCACACTCCTGTCAGCACTCCCTGCCCAGCACTGGGCTTTGCTGGCTGCTCCTGCTCAATCCTGGCTGTCAGATCTTCTCCCAAAGCTGGGGCTGGCCACGGGCATCCCYGAGAGAAAGGAGTGTGAGCCCCAGGCTCAGGGAATTCCTGTTTCCCACTTGGGAGGTGCCACTGCAGTCAGGCTGTGATGGTGCTGATTTCTGGCTGGGGTTATTTGGGCAAATTCCTGTCCATCTCCAGCTGCTCCGTTTTCAACCAGATCGTGAAGTTGTGCAACTCCCCCTTGCTGTAGCAGAGCTGATGGGCAATGCTGATTTATTCCAAAATGTTTCTCCTGTGCTCCTGGAATCTCTTTTTATTGCCTGTTTGCTGAGTCCAGGAATGAAAGGAAAATCATGCATTCCTCCTCTATTGTTTTCCTTTTGAAAATTGTGTTTACTCTTTCAGTGTGAGCCTTTTTTTTTTTTTCCTTTTATTAATAAATGAAGAGAAAGCCTTTTTTTTCACTTGATGGCACAGTTGTTCTCTTTGGAATTCCACACAAATATCTCCGGTTTGGCTCTGGACTTGCCAGTCGCTTCATTTCTCATAGCCCAAACAGATTGCATGTGTCCTTACGTGTCAGGGTTGAACAGCTTTTAAACTATTTTTAGTCCTAAAATAACTGGGAGAAACAAGTATTTTAACATGTGAAGTGGGGCCAAACCTTGAGCTGCCAAACTGAATAGCTCCTTCTTCTTAAAACTACTTTTGAAATTCTTTTTGAGGCATTACAATTTCTTTTTTTGCCATTTGTTTCAAATTTGGTATGCCAAAATAATAATAATAATAATAATAATAATAATAATAATAACAACAACAACAACAACAACAGCGACAACAAATCTGTCTTGGCTGCTGAGAAACATTTATCCTCATTCAGTGTTCAAAAGAAGGAAACCAGATATGCAGAGACTATCTCAGTATTTTTTATTGTCCTATGCCAGCCAGTCTGTGTATTAGAAATTCTCATGGGTCATTCCAAAGACAATTGTCACATAAAAGGTTTCAGCATGAGCTAAATTTATTTAAGCAGAAGTGGGGKTTTTTTCATATTTTTAGTGTATACACATGCACACAGACACACAAAATATTTATTTTCAGGCTCCCCAGGGAGTTGCTCATGTCTCTTGTCCCACACAAGTTTCTTCAAACACCCATTTAAAAAAAAGGAACACACTTGTTACAGGAGTAACAAGTCKTCAATCTTCCTTYTCTTTGATATATTTACTGAAGAAAYATAGAGTGTTAAGATAATTTTAATTTTAACTAAGATGCCTGTGRCACTAATCAGACTGTTTTGAATGTGGTGCCTCTGAAACATTTAAGAACATTGKGCTGTGAGAAATAAGCATCTCGTACTTGACATAACTCGATCATTTCTCATTTTTGTTTTCCAGGCACCCGTGGAGTTTTATTACCATTAAAGGAAATCCCTCCTCTTCTGTTGAAGACCACATTGAATATCAAGGTATTTAATGCACAAAATGCTGTCCTGACATGATCTCTGGAAGTTACTGAAGTTAGGGCTGGAGAATTTGGTCGATGGTGTTTTTACTTCCCATTACATCAAATCTATCAGCAATTGATGGTTTGAGACATTTAATTGAATGCTTTCTCTGTGAATTGCTTCTTCCCATTGATACATCTGAATCAGCTGAGTGGGGATAGCTTAGGGTATCCAAACCCTCAGAGAAATGTGAGCTCCTGCACCAGTGAAAATCCATGGGACTTCACTGAGTTCTCTTTAGACATGCTGCCTCTCTTCAGACACAAATCTGTGGAACAGACACAAATCTGTGGAACAGACACAGCTCACACCAGCTGAAAACCTCATCAGTGTATCCTGAATTAGTAGCCTCAAATCCTCCTGTGAAACCATTTTCTTGTGAGCTGAACACTTTGGAGTCTCTGTTCCCTCATTCTATGAACAACCCAGCTTGCTACAACATTAAACAAAAATAGCAATGTATTACTAATAATTGGGGGGTTTATACTCTCCTGATTTTTCAAGATTTTTCCTCCTGATTATCCATGCAGTCACAAAAGTGTCTGAAGCCTCATTGTAAGATCAGGAATTTTTTTTCTGGAGTTGTGCAGGGCTAATTTTGAATAATGCAGCCAAAACACTCAAATAGACCAGTGCATTTTCAGTTCTGACTTTTGCCAATTGCATTCCCTGATTTTACCAAAAGTGAATTCGATGATTTCACCAACGTTTGTTTTTCCTGACAGGTCACAAAGGGTCAGCCGTGGCCAAAGTATTCAAACTATTCAAAGCTGAGAACGGAGAACATTTTAACGTCTCTTCGACGAGTGAGTGGGTTCAAGGTAAGAGGTCTGTGGGCTGTTTGACTGACAAATAGGGTGAAGGACCCTTTTTACTGCAATCCTTTTCCCTTTAACTGCAATCCTTTTCCCTTTTACTGGAATCCTTTTCCCTTTTACTGCAATCCTTTTCCCTTTGGGAGGAATGTGCTTGCTAGCAGCTATTTATGTCGTCACAAACATGAGCAATGAGCACTCACAGATTCTTTCCCCCGTTGTCTCCAGGACCCTCTGAATAACTGGGATCCTTTTTCCTTTTCTGCACGGGGTGTGAAATTCCATCTCAGAGATCACCCACAACCCCTTCCTTCTCTTCCCGTCATGTGCATGGTTCAGACAACAGACAGCAACGGGAGAAACTTGATCTGAGATCAGAGGAGGCAGACACAGATCCAAAATCCCTGTCTATCAATGATGTTCACAGAGCACACTCCAATTATGTAGCTTTTAATAACTCTGCTCTCCCTTGGCTGGTTGCACCTCACAGCACCATTAAAAGGGGCTGACAGGAAGGGGCAGGAATCAAATCATCAGTGAGGAAATTCGGGAATGATATCTGAGATCGTATTATGCCTCACGCATTTTTTGCTGCGCTCATTAAGCTTGACTTTCAGATGACTGTTCTTGTTTGCACTTGTCTCCAGATGTGGAATGGACAGAGTGGTTTGAGAAGCCTGACAAAGCCAGATCTAAGGGCATGGAGAAGCTGTCTGACTTCAAAGCTGCTCATCCTGATAAAATCTGCAGGCAGCCCATTGACATCCAGGTAGGCAGGCTCAGCACTCGCTTCAGAGTCCAAATCTTCTTTGGACTGACACYGAACCCCCAAATAATTGTGTTTGTCAGTAATTATTGTTTCTAAMTAAAATACACCAATTATTTTTACCWCTCTAATGCATAACCAACAAAATCYTGTGTGCARTCAYGTATTGTTCTGAGACAAATTTGATAGGATTGAGCTCCTTTCAGTAAATTCTGGCTTCTGGCATGAAAAGGTGTACAGATGGGGTCATGGACAGCACAGATGCTATCATGAAATATGTGGCTCCCTGCTGGAAGATTAAAAGGAGCGAGCACATGAAAATTTCAAAGGTTTTAAATGGTCCTGGAATGGACCCTACCTAAAAAATTGATCACAAAATGTAACGAGATGGTAAAACTACCAGCTGTAGTGGGCTGTCAAAAATATTGGTGAGCTTTCAGTCATTTCTTAAAGTCAATTGTTTTATCTCTGAGGAAAGAAATTTTAATTCTATTTGAAGCTAAGCATTATAATTACACACCAGGCCAGCAAGCTGAGGAGCAGTCAGATAMCTTTTCTGACAAAGTCTCTTTAAGGACAAAAAAAACCCAGCAAGAAACAAGGGCATTGTTTTTTGTGTATGTTCACCATATACTTTTTATGTCTACCTGGTAAAACAACCAGAAAGAGACAATAAAATCCTTCATACCTGTGTGAGGCTCAGCCTAAGGCCCCTGCCTGCTCTGAGCCAGTGCAGTTGTCCTTCTCCACAAGAATGTGGCTATTGAAAAAATGGGAATGCTGACAGGATGAGTGAAACTTTCCAGGGCTAGATGTTATAAAGAATTTCTCTTGAATAGAAAGGAAAAAGCTGCCCTATAATTTTCTGCCAGCTCTTACCAAATCCACAGTCATTTCTGCTTCCATATACGTGTATTACAAGTGACAWCTCAGTTCAAAACAGAGGTCAGATGTTTGTAACAGCCCCTTCTAGAATGTGTATTAAAAGAGAAAGAAAAAAGACATTCTTCTGTTCTAGAAACAAATCTTTTTTTCCTCTTCTGTGAAATAAGCTACTTTTATTTTTTCCTCACATATATTAAAAGCAAGACATTTTTCAGTTTATCCCGCAGATCTTAGGGCAAATCCTCAGGTACTGTAACCTGGTGCTGCTCCTTGCTTTCTTAAAGCTCCCCTGATTTACAGCAGCTGGCTGCAGGCAGAAAATTGAAGATATGATGGCAATAACAGAAGCACAGCCCAGCCAGAGGCACATTCCTGCAGCTGGTGGTGCTAATCCCATTTCCATTAATGAGGAAAGCCTGCACGAGTGWGGATCAGGATCTGACCCTGCATCCAAAGATGCCTTTTCTCCCGGTGCCTTGCTAAAATGTGTGTTGTATTTGGATTGCCCAACGCAATTCACTGCATTTTTGTGAAAGGGTCGAGAGAAATGGGAGCTGCAGAGACAGAATGTGAAATTTGTCACCCTGAGGGGTGGCATTGCCCCAGCAGGAAAAGCAGAGAGGTTCCATATCTCACTGCTTCTTGGCACTGTGCAGCCTTTTTTTTCTCAAGGCAGCTCCACAGGCTGGTGCTTGCCTGTGAGAAAAGGCCACTTCTTGTTTCTTTTGGAGCAGGCAGYAGTATTGCAGCAGCCTCAGGGTTTTTTTTAGAGACTGACTGATGCAGGCAATGGAGAAATAAAACCCCTTCCCCGTTTTTCTGCAAGGYTCAGACAGAGCCTAGCCACGAGCARTGGAATGAGCACAGAGGCTGAAAACTATGAGTTCATTTGGGTGCAAGCATCCGTGTTCAATGTTTCCATCTGCCCTCAGACCAGAGGAGAAGGAAATTTAGGGCAGTGAGGCAGATGTTGSTGAAGCTCACAAACTCCTCCCAGAAGGGCTCACGGTCTCAGTACAGACATGGGGAAAAGCTCTGTGTGAGCACTGGCTGGAAACGCTGTCATGGGGGTTTATTTGTACTGTGATGGTTGTGCCAACACCCAAAACACAGCAAAAGCCTCCTCTGATGGTGAAATGATGTTGTTTTGGTGAAATCCCTTCACCTCACAGCGACTCATGAATGCCCCCCCCTTCCTTCTCTCTCTCCTCGCTTATATATCTGAGCTGATGTCATATGGTATGGAATATCCCTTTGGATCCTTGGACAGCCTATTATCATTTAGATCACTACAGACAATTTCCAGCACTGCTAATTCCCTCAGGTACTGGACACCTTCATCTGCAGTGCTCCACTTCCCTGGGGATTTTGTAAGATCTTCCTTAAATGAATACCTAGCTCTCACGCTTGACAGAAGCCGTTTCCAAAGGCTGCAAAATCGCTCCTTCCTTCCCAATTCCTCTTTCCATCCCCATTCCAGGCAACGACGCTCGATGGAGAGAATTTAAGCACCGAGGTTTTCTACAAGGGCGGCCACGATTACCAATTCCTGTGCCACGGCAAGGGCCAGACGGGCGAGGGCTGCCACRGCTACAGAGTGAGATTCCTGTGTGGCAAATCTGGTACGTGCCCTGTCTGTGAAAATCACAACAGGGGACAGCAGAAATCCTGTCCTCCCATGGCTGACTCTTGTCTGGTGTCAGAATAGCAGTAATTTCCCCAAGTGAAAGCTTTGGCCRGGCTATGGACACGAACTCAGATAGAACATTGGAAGATTTATCTCAGGAAAAATTCCTGAGTGCTAACAGAGGCAGCAGGGTGGTTTCTCAAACACCCAGCAAGGCTGTGGGAAATAATTGGCAAGATTTTCCATGTAAATTCCTTGTCTTTTGCACAAACATTTTGGGATGATGTTGGATTAGTCAATCAGAAYGTGTGAAGGTGACAGGGTTTGAGACTAATATTTCATTTTGTAGTTATTAATTCCAACACCGCTGCCTCTAACCTGGTCATTAGGTCATTAGGAKTTTTGGTGCTAGCAGGAAAGGAAGGGTGGCAGACTGTTGTTTTGCTGGAAAAAACAGTCATTAGGTTAAAAACCACTTGGCTGCTGTAAACAACAGCACCCAGCGCCCTCAAGGGCTGCTGAAAAGTGGGTGTGGTGAGAATGAGCCACTAAGAGCTGTTTTTAAATTTATCCTGGGCTTAGTGGAAAATCCACCTGCCTGAAACTGAAGGAAAATACTTTCCTGTTTTCTCGCTTGCCAAGCCAAAGCCAGTAAAAAACATGTTTGGAAGAGTTAATTTTTTTWAAATTTTTTTGGGGCATGAGAAAATCATAATTTTTGGTGGCACTCCAAGGTGGGGGTGTGTGAAAGAAAAAAACGAGCAATCTTTCTCTGATAAGACTGACTGAATTTTCCACCCTTCCACTTTGGCTTTTCAGTGAAACCCAAGCTGACGGTCACCATTGACACCAACGTGAACAGCACCATCCTGAATTTGGTGGATGATGTGAGCTCCTGGGAGCCYGGAGACCAATTGGTGGTGGCCAGCACTGACTACTCCATGTACCAGGCAGAGGAGTTCCAGGTGCTGCCCTGCAAAACCTGCAGAGCCACCCAGGTCAAGGTGGCAGGTGAGGTGCTTTACTTGTCACTATGGCAGCTCACAGATTCTTCATTTGCACTGAGATGGCTCCATCAAGAATTGAAAAGAGTTGGATGGCTGGTTGTTAGATGCGTTTGGGATACATAATTTCTGTGCTTGAAAGCCATCTAACTTGGTTTTGGTTCCTTTATTCCTTCCTTTTTCGTGGTTGACTCCACTTTTGTCCCCAAGCACGCTGTTGAGCAGGTATTTATTTAACAGATACAGGTTATGTATTTGAACTTTTCAATAACTGTATTTGAAATGCCCCTTCCTGGAAAGCAGATGAGCACAGCTGATGTGCAGAATGAGTTAGGGCAGGAGCAGACTGTGAGAGACTGAAATGCTGGGAAGTAATGGCCAGCTGGCTGCTTTCCTCAGTTTGATTTAACAAGAACTGTAATCTTACATTTTAGAAATACTGTTTTGTACTACTGAAGCTACATTTTCTGTGTCTCCAGAGGGCCTTGCTTAGAGGTGATGTGTAAAACAAACATTTCTGGTGTTGTCCTGAGTCTCTGCCCTGGGGAGATGGAGTTTTAGGGTGCTGCCAGAGTGAGTTTGAGAAGGAKGAACAGGAGCCTTTGCAGAGCCCCATTCTTCTCTTGTAGGTGACCAGCTCAAACACAAAGCAAATTGCTTTTGATGAGCAGATTTTGTAGTCCAATGTCTGTAAARTGGCCTCTGGATACCAAGTCAAATTAAGCAACATAACCATGATGAAGCACAGACTATTACCAGCATGAGCATAACAGTGAAATCCAGAGCAGGACATTTAATCCTCACTGAGTCTGTGAAGTTGTCTTTYCCTTCTAGAACCTTGTTTTGGCACACTGATAAACAGAGCATGGAAATAGCACGTCAGCTGTCCCTTATCTGAGCAGATGAGGATTTTCTTGCTTCTGTAATTTATTGAATTTATTTAGTAAATGTTATTTTGCAGGGTAACAGCCTGCAGTAGCTGTGGCTGTATTTCAGAGGCAGCATCTGTCTGGCGGTCAGTCACACACGTGATGCTATCTTTGCTTGCACCATGGCTGTTGCTCCAGGCAGAGCTTTAGTCTGCATTTACATAAAACATTTCAGACAAACCATGAGGGCATTTGGAACRTCCAAACCCATTGGGTTCTCTGAAATGAACCATTTCAGCATTATCTCTGATGCAACTTCTTCTGGAAGGCACCAACACTCCCCACAGAGCTGCAGCCATTCATTGTTGGAGATTCACCAGGCCAAGAAAAATGTTATTCACAGCTCGAATGTATCACAATCTTACGATTTCAAATGTCTTGTGCTTTCAAAGAAGACACATTTCCAAGCTGGATGTTTYTCTTGAGCAATTTCTGAGCTGTTGGACTCAGGCTGGTGTGGTACAAGTCATRTCATGAGGGAGGTTTTGGAAGATTGCCAATAAAAATAGAGATGGTGCAGGAATCTTGGGTTTGCCATAACCTAATGGATCCCTGAGATTTGTGTAGGTGCATTCATCTTCTGCAACAGGGACAGCTAGGTCAGTTTAAGGGAACAAATAATGGGTTAAAACCAACAAAAAAATTCATTTTTGAATATATTTCAAGTGAAGAAGCAGTGGAAACACTCGTTAAAGTAATTGTGCTCCTGGTCTCCGATCGCTCTTTAGGAGAATTAGGACATTCCTGTTATTACCACAAATGACACRAGCACCAGGGCCAAAGTCTCTCCTTTCTTATATCCAGACAACTCTGCTGACATCAATGGGATTTCACTGATTATATAAATCAAGGCAAAATTTGGTCCAGTTATAAAAACCACATCCAACTTTCTTGTAGTAAAAACACATTAGCACTAGAAAATAAAATAATCTGCCTGAATCTAAGCTCAGTCTAGATGAAATAAAACCTGGGCAAGGCTGAGATGTCCCCTGTCTTAAGGAGCCAGGAGGTCCCTGAGTTTCTCTGTGCCTGGCTATGGTGTAACTTCATCTGCTGCCCTCTCCATGAGATGTAATTAGCCAGAATAAGGATCTCTAATTACCCCAGGGCAATTGTTGGGCCAGGCTTGTACTGGGGTGCAGAAGAACCTTCACCATAAATGTCCAGTTCCTTTTGCTGTGGAGATAGGCAAGATTGCTTTGCTCCTTCTGAGAAAAGCCTTCCACACATCCATTTATATATGCAGGGTCTCAGAGGGATGTCATTTGTAATCAGTGAAATGGCTTAATTTTCCTAAGAGGTTTATTTTAGCAGCTGAGAACTCCAAAAGTTTGCCCTTTGAAACACAAATGATAAAACCATTCCTACCCATGATGATTTATTTCCCTTTAAATCTTATTTTTTTCCCTTTCTATTTATTTTTAAATGAAACCTAAATGTCACATCTGAACTACTTAAGAGTCTCTTTATTATAAAAAAAAAGGCAGAAAAACCTCTGCTTTGTGGACAGCCAGTTTGGTGTGGCAGCCACTTGGCATACCATGTCTTAATATAATTTATGCTCTCACAGTTTAATGGCATTTTAATAGACATGGTTTAGCATATTGCGCCAAATAAGTCAAACTCATTAGTTAGCTCATGTCCTATTTATATTTGATACTTCCTGCTGAAAGTCACACTTTCTTTACTTGCTAGAAATGGATTGATTGGAGCTTTTCAAAACAACTTAAGGGAGTTAATGCTCAACTGCCACCAGGTTTTAGGAGGATTTAGTTATTTAGCTGTGGACATCTGCAGATCTCAGTGAAGAAAGCGAGGGAGGACACACAGGCTCTGATGTTTTGCACTCCTTTAGTGGACTAACTGTGAAAATTGTGGCTCCCATGGGTGAGTGTGGTTTGCRTGAGGACCCAGACCTGCAGGTCCTGCTCCCAGTCAAATGGGCACCCACTTAAATGGAAATTTTTCCCTCCAATTGCTCCCTTTGTTTGACTCTCTTTATTTGCCTGTCTTTTTTTTTTTTTTTTTTTTTTTTGTTTWTTTTCACTGTGGGAACAGATTAAAACTGTTTGATCTTCCAACTTCACAAGGTTTGGGGAGGGACGACAGCGCAGGGCAAAGGGAGGGAGGAAGGAAGGAAGGAAGGAAGGGTTGTGTTGTTATGATAGAACGGGATAGTAGGAAAGATCAAGTATTTTGTCTCGTTTCCCTGGGAAACAAGTCTTATCTGCATCTTGGTTGCTCTGTATGAAGTTTCTACGAATGCTGATAAGTTTCACCATGGAACAGGAAAGATGAAATGCTCTTTTGTGCTCCTATATGCTCTTGATAGAGGATGAAAAAGCTATTCGTGCCTGGCATAATTACTCCAATTATCCCACATACTGGTGAATCTATGATTACGAGCACACAACTCTTAAATCCTCCTTACTGGGTACAGAATATGAGAGAGATAAGGAGTTTACTGTGATCTCCTTCATGCAGAGAACTTTGAATTAAAAGTATCAATCTGCAGTTTTCTCACAAGTTCACGGCCTGTATCAGCATTTATCTGGTGCTGTAAGGATGGGAGAATTTACTCCATTATCAAAATTCAGATATTTTTAGAGATTTAGGGTGTTCTGTTTAGAAGTTGGCATTATTGTGGCTGGAACTTGCCAAAAGCTCTCTGCATCCAGACTTCTACCAGGCAAGCCCA